GCGACAAAACCACCCCCCTTTCAGTTTTCCGTGGTCAAGCCAGCCGCGCTAGAATTTGAAGTGCGCCTATATACTCTATATGCTTACATTTACGGTAAAGGTATTGAAACGGGCCAAAGCTCACGATTTTTAAAATAAAATACCAATGCTGGATTAATTATAAACTTCCAAGTTTAATAAAAACACTTTTTTAAATATTTACAGCATAAGGACATCATTTATAGATTCTACATGACCCGCACTATCACCACACAAAGAATCAAGCATTTCTACTGGACCATTCTGGAGAAAACTCACATTAATGTGACTCCAATGCCGTATTATTTAAGAATTTCCAAGTTTAATACAAAAAACTTTTTTTTTTTAAATATTTACAGCATAGGACATCATTTATAGATTCTACATGACCCGCACTGTTACCACACAAAGAATCAAGCATTTCTACTGTACCATTCTGGAGAAAACTCACATTAAAGATGTGACTCCAATGCTGTATTATTTATGAACTTCCAAGTTTAATAAAAACACTTTTTTAAATATTTACAGCATAGGACATCATTTATGGATTCTACATGACCCGCACTGTTACCACACAAAGAATCAAGCATTTCTACTGTACCATTCTGGAGAGATGTCACTGTTAACTTGTGAGTTCTCCAGTAATATACACCAAGACGCACTGTCACTGCTCAAATGTCTTAATTTTTTTTTTAAATATTGTGACAGTTCAATTGTTCGTCTCCTGACTTACTCCTGTCTCCAGCCTCCTCTTGTCACTCCTTCCCCTCACTAAGTAACGAGAGAGATTGGTTATTGCATGCAGCTGCTTCATTCATACACCCACACACCAGTCCACTTGAGCCCATCCTCATACCCCATACTTGCCACAAAGACAACAATTCCAGTCTTTCAGTTTTGCCCTCTCCAGCTGTGTTGTGTCCATCTGCAGGCACTGTGTATGGAACCACCTACAACAGCTGTCACACTGAATCTGTAAAACAATTACACCACCAATAAAATATGTCATTTAAAAATGTATAATTATAGTAACTTTCTTAAGTTTATTAATGTTTATCAGTGTGTCAGACTGTCATGCCAACAGCTGTATACTCAAAATGTTGACATTGCGTTAAATATATACTGATTCATTAGTGGGCAGCACGGTGGCACAGTGGTTAGCGCCGTTGCCTCACAGCACGAAGGTTCCGGGTTCGGGTCCCGCCCAGGACCTTTCTGTGTGGAGTTTGCATGTTCTCCCCGTGCTTGCGTGGGTTCTCTCCGGGTACTCCGGCTTCCTCCCACAGTCCAAAGACATGCAGCTTAGGTTGATTGGTGTCTCTAAAATTGCCCATAGGAGTGCATGTGCGTGTGTCTGGTTGTTCGTCTATGTGTTAGCCCTGCGATGGATTGGCGAACTGTCCAGGGCGTACCCCGCCTTCGCCCGATGGCTGGCCGGGATTGGCTCCGGCCCCCCCGTGACCCCGTTCAGGGACAAGCGGTAGAAAATGAATGAATGATTCATTAGTAATATATATTTTAAATTAAGGAACTACATTACTAAATGAACAATTACATAACTTTTAGAAATGAATGTAGTACAGTAAAAGTAATAAAAATGTACAACACAATACATTAATATGAAATTTGACCTGATTGGCTTACTTGACAAATTGTACCAAGTTACTTCTCAAGTCTGTCTCAGATCGGTTTGAATGATTTCCCACAAATCGAAGCTATTTAATACAAATATTTTGTAGTGTTAAGTCCTCACAAAACAAATTCCAGTTGATCTCAAACATAGATATAGGTTATTTTACACAAACAAACACACACACACACACACACACACACACACATACATATATATATTTATACCTGGTGGTGTAGTTGCAGAGCACATTGCACATGTGGTCTCTGAATTAAACACTGAAATGTATTTTAAAATATAGCACATGTGATAAAATATCAAAGTAAAAAAAGAAAAGGAAATAAAGGGAATAGAAAACACATACCTGAAGCTCTGAGAATTTCTAAAGCAAGGTTGTTTAGCTCACTCGCCATGTCTTTTTTGGTTGTTCCAAAAATGATTGTTGGCATTTGTGGAAATGCCTCCATCAGTCTCTTTGCCATCTTCATAATAAAATGTTTTTAATTAAACACTAGACCACCAGGTTTTAATGACATCTGTGCATAATAAGCTGTGCAACACCATCTTCCTAAAACCCTATATCGGTTTGTAAAGGCAGTAGAAATTGATCCTATGTATAGGAAAAGAATGTAATTTAAAAAGTTAATGTCTTACCATAATGACAATGACTCCACAGCTAGTGTTGTCTTGCTGAACTGGATGTTTCATCACAGCTCCTTTCCACTGTATGTCAACCCAGTCAGTCTTGCTGTGACAGGCCCTCCTCATTTTGAAGTATTTACTGTGTGTAGGGAGAAGACAAAGAGTCAATATTGCTATTGCACTGGCATAGTATTTGTAGGATTGCTAATAATGCAATTTTGTTTCATCAGTCTCCATAGTTGGTTCATTTTGTGGCAAATTTAACATGCTACATAAACATCTACAAGGATTATAAATTTTATAGTTTTTATAAATCACAATTTTAGTTATATGATGAACAACTGTCTGAAGCAGAATCTGTCCATGAACACCAAGGGACCACCAGTGCAGTCTCTTGGAGTGGCCAGGATGCACAATCTGGACAATGAGACCAGAACTCTACAACATTGACCAAATTATAAACTAATTGAGTACAAAGAATATCTCTCACAAGGAATCTCTCCTTCTTTGGAACTATCCACCCAAAGATTTAAGCTCATAAATTAACCATACTTGGAGGAAATCTGAGTACCCGGGGGAAACTCATGCAACTACGTGAACTTGACAATGACACCGGACATGACTAACAAGACACCAGGAGATTGGGGCAGAAGCACCAAACATTACAAGAGGGAGATAGAGACACAGAACATGACAGAATACTAGCCAAGAAGCAGGGTAAGATCAACATTAACTTCACATGAATATTAAACAAGACTAACCCAACCCCAGGAGGGGAGAGAACCAACATCACATGAGGTAATATGATTTAAAAAAAAAGGAATTCAAGGAACTGATTGACATGAAAAGTGAACATAATACCTGGTATAATCATGAAATAAACAACACACAGATGCTAAATATGACTAGGATCCTGGCCATCTCAGACAGGATCCTGACATACGTACCTTATCCTACAATAAAACATTTCTGTCCTGATGGTATTGTTCATTGAAACGATGGTAGTGTTCATTGAAAGAACACAGCTTCTGTGTCCACGGCACCTTCTCATCAAGCGCCTGCTAAATCCAGTATTGGATTTCAAATCTTGCACATGGAATGTGAGTTTTCTCCAGAATGGTCCAGTAGAAATGCTTGATTCTTTGTGTGGTAACAGTGCGGGTCATTTAGAATCCATAAATGATGTCCTTATGCTGTAAATATATATAAAAAAGTGTTTTTATTAAACTTGAAAGTTCATAATTAATACAGCATTGGAGTCACATCTTTAATGTGAGTTTTCTCCAGAATGGTACAGTAGAAATGCTTGATTCTTTGTGTGGTAATAGTGTGAGTCATGTAGAATCTATAAATGATGTCCTTATGCTGTAAATATTAAAAAAAAGTGTTTTTATTAAGCTTGAAAGTTCATAATTAATCCAGCATTGGATTTAAGGTATTTTATTTTGAAAATCGTGAGCTTTGGCCCGTTTCAATTCCTTTACCGTAAATGTAAGTATATAGAGTATATAGGCGCACTTCAAATTCTAGCGCGGCTGGCTTGACCACGGAAAACTGAACGGCGGCTGATTTGACCGCAGTGGCAAACTGCGGGGCAAAGTTCATCTTTCAAGAGAGTTGCACAACAAACGCCCATAAGAGGCTGGCTAGCCCGTTAGTAGGAGGGGAGAGCAACTCTGCAACTTCGAAGACTGCGAGAACAATCTCATCTGTGTCTTTACGTTGCACATATTCAGGGTAAAAGTTTAAATCAGATGTTTATAGTTAAAGATTTAAAGGTAGTTCAGAAACTTCTTCAAAATAACATGGTGCTTTTATGAATACTTAGCTTCATTATATATGACCTTATGCTTTTAATTGTGTGATGCATGTATGCTATGTGTGACACATTGCAGGGATCAATCATCATTTTTACATGCTTGAAAGAATAAATCAAATCAAATCAAATCAAATCATGGCCACTGAAACAAAGCAGAGTTGTTATGAGCGCAGTTCTGTCCAGCGCTTTCAGTTCTACCTGAAACACTCAGGAGAGCATGAGGCCATTCTCCGGTGTGTTCACAACATCCTGCCAGGAGAATTTAAAAGGTACAACAAGAAGGGATGGAGTACTACACTGTGCTGGCAAATCTTTTTACAATATTTACTACTTACCCAGACTTGGCAGAGTAGTTATGGGTGCCTTCATACCTTTTTGTTTTTTGGTTTGTGTGTATGTGTTTGAAAGAACGTGATAATTTTGGTCATTAAATGAGGTCTCAACTATGACTTCTCTCAAAAGTTGGAAAATGATTTTTTGACACAGATTTTTGAAGTTGCTGGTGATTTCACATGGCCACAAAGCTGGAAGTATTGGTAACATTGTCATAGTGCCAAAAGTACCGTTTTTGTGCTTATACACATTGTCCCTATCCAAGCACACTAAATAATACAGATGCCAGTGGCATGGCCAAGGAGCATGGTACTGCACAAAGAGATTTACATGCACATGAAGTACATCTCAGATTAAACAGTCTGTTCTGAGTGGTTCTTAGTAATACTAGTAAGTACTAATTCAGCCTCTCACACACAATAAAATTTGGAGAGTAGCTTTTATATATAGATGCAATACAGTTATGTACAGGTGTGTAAATCAGGGTTTATTTTCACCATTTCCACTTTTCTTTTCTTTAAATTTCTTTTTTGTGTGTTGATGCAGAATTGGAGCAGGTAAAAGCAGTCTGGATGTTCTTGGTGTTGGAAGTGGTGGAGGTATGTGCCAAAATACAACTGGTTACATGATCAAACAGTACACTGCAATAACACATTTGTGGAGAAGTTGGCAGATTCTGTCAAAGAGATCAATACAGGTAATCAGTTACAATGATTATCACACAGTTGTATAATTCAAGTCATTGCTCATGACTGAAATGATACGATTATGGAGCAAACACACATGGACTTCTCTTTCTCTCTCTGACATACATACACACATACATAAAATGTTTAATTACTTTTGAATGTTTTAGAAATGCTTCAAACATTTCATACAGACACTTTTTGGAGCATAAGATTTTCATATTGAAACAGCACTGGGATTTAAAAGTCTAGACTTCATGGTTTATTCCAGGAGAAGTAGATGTCCAGATACTCTCTCTACTACAGTCTGCATTCCCTGCTGTTCCTGTCACTGCTGACATTGTGGAAGGCAGCTCTGAGCTCACAGACAACTTCAAAGGTATCAACAGTTCAAAACACCACACAGCCATGTATTTGTATCTGTCTTCTACAGCATCTCTTCCCTTTCTTACATATCAAAATGTCTTCTCATGAAATTGTACAGAATAACATGGACATTTCAAGATTTCAGCACTCACTACTGCTCTAGCCCATGCTGATCACAATACTAACGCTGGTCCCAACAAAGCCACAGATGCAGAACAATTGCAGAACTGAATGTTCCTAATAAACTGTGAGCAGCTGATCTTTGCACTGATTTTGTATCTGTTCATGTTTTATGCTTAGATGACCAAGTAGTTACTTAAAATTTCCTGATGAACTATGCATACAGATTGATGTGTTTCACTGCTTTATCTCACTTTTTTAATGTTCATCTTAAAGCTTTGGTAGCAAGAACCACCAGCCTTCACAAGATCCCATTTACTTGGCATATCATGCACAGTGAGGACTATGAGAAGCAAGTAAAAGCAAAGGGAGATGTGAAGAAATTTGACTTCATGCATATGATCCAGGTATTATGACTGCTTTCTAAACATTGAATTTAAACATTATGCAGTGGCAAGAAAACTATGGGCCATTGTCTGGATTCTGGACTTTGCATGCTGTCGCCTTACTGTCCCAGGTTACCCCTTGCAAGAGAGGTGGACTAAAGGCCAATCTGTAGGTAGAATGTGAGCATCTTTTTTTCTTTTTAACAGAGATGTATTTAGTTACCCACACTACCATTTGAATTTATTGGCAAACTGCCTGGAAATAGAAGCTTTTATGCCAAACAAAAGTGTTGAATGATTTGTGCTTAAAATAGTAATACGGTTCTTGACACTGTGTCCCTGACAGACCTCCAGTATGTGAAAGCACTTCAGACTGTGTGCTTTCAGGTATTCATGCTTCAGTTGGAAAGGTTAAATTAAAGGTTCCCTCACAACTTTTGCCTTAATAGGTTCTGTACTATGTGGATGACCTTGCTGAAACAATCAGGTTTTACCACAGCCTTCTGAAAAACAATGGTATGCTTATGATCATTACTGAAACAGGTACTGTAAGAAGAAATTGATTTTAATTCACTTTAATTAACTTGTCATGATGAAAAATAAATTGTCAATGACTGTTTAGGGAGGTTATAGGCTGACTGAATGTAATGAACAGTACAGTATCTGGAGTTAATGTATTTTTTTCATCTTGTACTGTCTAGCCAACTGTGGTTTTGACACCTTGTGGAAGACTTACAAAAAGGAGCTCTATAATGACACCATCACAGAGTACCGTTCATCAGCAGAAGTTGTCACCCACCTGAAAAAGAGCTAGGGTCTGAAATATGAAGTGCATGATATTCCCAACTCCTTTGACATCACACAGTGCTTCAATCCGAGCAGCGAGACTGGAGAATGTCTGCTGAATTTCATGACAGCAAAAGATAACTTCTACCAGTCCTTCAGCCCAGAGATCAGAGCAGGCATTTTAGACCTTCTCAGAAACAAGTGCAGCTCTGAAAAAGATGGTAAGGTGTTCTTCAATGCCAGTTTGAGCTGCATACTGGTTTATGAGGAAGTCCATTCTGCCATTTGATCAAACCTACACTATATTTGCCTGTTGCTAGGAATAGGTTTGTCTGTGTAGACTACATGTACATTCACTAAACTCATTTATTCGGTAAGTGTTCCAAAGTGATCAATAAAAACAATTAAAATCACTTCTGCTGTTTGTGCCTTAAAAAAACTTTATTTTTAGGAAAGCAACTGTATCCAAAGCTGACACATAATTCTATGCAGTGTTTTCAGTAACTTACATCAAACTCGGGTTAATCAAATTAACCACACTTTTTCTCTTCATGTCCCTTAAAGGGAGCCCGAGGTAACTGTGATTACTGACAGAAGTCCGGTGACTCCAGTCGCTGGTGAGCACATCTGGAAATGTGCTCTATATGTATAATAAGATTTGATGTATACTTTCTTACAAAATAGTTAGTGACTAGCTGGTGAACACAGTGGAGCATTTAGCAGCTAAAGAGTCAAATATTTCCCTAAGCAGTTAGTGCAGATTAGAAAGAGCTAAAAGTACTGTGAATATTAGACTTACATGTTCACCAGGTGGCAAGAAACAACTCCAAAGGAGGGCTACTAGCTAGGTAGTAGTTAGCCTCATTTATGCCTTTTGTTAATTTAAAACGAACAAACAAAAAACATTGACCCACTTTTACATTATGACACAAGTATAAAGCATGGCAGGATCTTTTTGAAAGTTGACCTTATCCTTATCTTGTGCTCACACGAGTGTGTGCGAGACCACAGTTTGCTTTCTCACAAGCTGGGAGCCCTTTTGGTTGTGAGCCAAAACAATAAGAAGAAGAAGCTTTATTTTACTGTCATTGTAACATTGTGACACGTACAATGAAATTTTGTTTGGAGTCGAGGGCCTCGGGCCGCCGCGTGCGTACAGGCTGCCATCACGGGCAACTTGGGTGTTCGGTGTCTTGCCCAAGGACACTTCAACATGTGGACTGCAGGCACCGAGATTCAAAACCTTCAACCTTCCAGTTGGGAGGCGACTGCTCTACCAACTGTTTAAATTTCTTTACAGTATAAATGTTATGGGAAAGTAATTCTTTAAACATAATACTAAAGAAACTGCTCCTCATTTCTTTTTAACAAATGCACGGCCCAGCCACATTAATAGTTGCATCTGTACAGTTTTATGCAGTTCAACGCAACACTTCCTAATATTCTAACCCTCTCAGGTATGTAGCTGGGGAAGACAAAAATAGAGACACCTTGGAATCTAATGTAGTCCAGTACAGCATCACCTTTAACTGTGACCTCAATAATAAACATATAATTGAATATATACATTTATGACAATTTCACCAAAAAGTAAAATATTTTGAGCTTCATAAGCACATGTGTTAAGGTGGAAGTGTTGCAGTGAAGTGCATACAATTGTACAGGTATGACTACAGGTATGTGCCAAAAAATTAGAATATCAAGGAAAAGTCCATTTATTTCAATAATTTGTTTCAAAAAGTGAAACTTGTATGTTATATTAGTTCACTACACACAAAGTGAAATATTTCAAGCCTTTATTTGTTTCAATTTTGATGATTATGGATTAAAGACAAAAAAAACCCAAATCCAGTATTTCACAAAATTAGAATATCATGACAAAGTTCAACATTGTAGGCTCCCTGTGTCCCAATCTAGTCAGCTAATTAATGCAAAACACCTGCAAAGGTTTCCTCAGCCTTGAAATTGTCTCAGTCTGGCTTA